AAACTGATTTTTACTATGTAGTTGCCTCAAGTCAAAACATTTTGACTTTGGGGTTTTAATTTCGACTTCATGTATAGTGTGGAGGATATCTTTAAAATGTGGGAAGAATGCACTGAAAAATTTAGAGAAGCAGCAACATTTGATGTTGTAAGAAACAAAAGAAAGCACATTACAATAGATATAAGTCCTGCTCATAGGAAGTTACAAGAATGAGTTAATCTCATAAGAGAATTTAGAAAACAACATGAATACTTGCATGATGGATTAGAAGTTGCTGATTCTATTTATGACAACATCAGGAAATTTTTCTGATGCAGATTTACGTAATTATTACACTATTTACATAAGTTTATGGTGGGCCTGTAATATTATGCAAATAAGCAGCAGGGAAAATTTCCTGATGAATGTCAAAGATATTGACATATTAGATGTTTCATTTGATGGTACCATGGCTTGGAAAAATGCAGAAACTTCATACTACCAACATATTTCTCACTTTGCAAATAGTATTATCAAAAAAATTGAAAGAGTCTTGATAAACAAAACTTATTGTAAATAATAATTAATTTCTCTTTGCTTATTTATAAACTTCACAAATTTATAAGGTTTATAATAACATTACCAATTACTATTAAATCACTAAACAGGTAAAAATAAAGAAAAGAAAAAGACATTATGAAAAACCAAAAATCAGTCTTAATATTAAAAAAAGTCAGCCTTCATCACAATCAAATATCACATCAAGAGAGTCAAAACCACTTCCTGTTGATGGACAAAATATTGTATTTTGTAAAGGGTTTAGGGTGTGAATTATGGAAATAAATAATTACCATTATTATTATTTGTAATAATTAATTTTAGGGTGATGATAGTCTTAAATTACTGGACTTTCCATCATGTTTAAATTACACCAACATAGTCCTTACAATCAAAATATTTTAGCATATAAATATTATTTTAGCAAATCATTATTATCATTATTATTAATATTATGTTGCAAAAAAAAAATTTAAAATTTAAAAAATTCCTCAATAGTTTATTTTTTATCATGAAATTCATGAAATGGAAGTTTTATATTATTTAAAATCTTATCAATTGTCTGACAACAATGAAATATCTACTCAATATTGAATTACTAGGTTGATTTTCATCAATCTTAAATAAAACTTTTATCTGTTTCAATCAAATATTCTTCATAGTAAAATTCATGTTATGTACACTCACTCTACCATTAATATTAATATTTAAATAAATTTTTTCAAAATAATGTAGGTTCCTAATATATTTGACATGATGAGTAGTAGGCAATGCATATTTCTTTATGAGTGATGATAAATAATAATTGGATCCAATATATTTTTGCTTCAAGGTATACAACTTTAGAACATGATCATTAATTGTGTTCTTTATTATTATTATCTGAAAATTGCATAACCACCAAAAACATTGTTATAATCAATGTTGTCAGTGGACACAGACACAGACTGTCTGGTCCTGGACTGTCCATGTCCATGTCTACCACTTTAAATGTCCTGGACAAAAATACAAATTTTTGTATATTTAATGAGTTTATCCTCTGTGAACACTTTATGGTACAATTAACAAAGCAACAAAAATCCTATAGAGTTCTTTTTTATTTGCTTTACTTTTACTTTCTTTGACCAATCAAAGCCAGCTGTATATTTGCAACAATTACTTTACAATAAAATAATCAATATGTGATAATGACTTTTGTCAATAACAGTTAGCTCTTTCAATTAAACCATTTAAAAAATTAAACAAAAACATTTATGCTTAACAAAACCAAAAAATTAAACCTTTGCTTACTTACTAAAACAAATATCTAAAAAAAATCTTTGTTTTAACCACTTTGATAACCAAATGGAAATTAAACCCTACTGTTTAATTTCCAACCACAAAAGTGTTTTATTAAACAAAAAAGAATTAATTTGTTTTAAATTATGAAAATGTTTATTACAAATGAATTGTTTGTAAAAAAATAAATCAATATTGTAATAATAAGATTGTTTTCTTTCTAAGAATTTCTGTTTTTGTTGGGTAATAGCACACTTTAATTCTGCTTTCTTTTCTAACATTTATTGTTTTTCTTTCTGCTTGGTAAATTTCATAGGTAATCTTTTCATTCCTTAGATAAATTTCAAGTGTCTGAAAATATAAGGGGCAATTTTTTCACCTTGTTCCTTTTTTAAAATACTTTTAATGGTGGTGCTGTAATTCCTTGGTTCCATAGTAGACCTGATGTAAATAAGCTTCATTTTTATATAGGAGTAATTATATATATTGTTTAAGAAAAATCAATGTGATATATTGATGATAACTAAATTTTGATCCCTGAAATCTTTGGTAATACCAATGTTCACTTTGTTTGGTTTTGTTGCAGCATGCCCATATATATTTTAATATATATAAACAATAATTGTTCTATATATTAATTAATATGCATAAATGAATAAACAAAAGATTTTATTGGGAGTGACGACCAAATAATAACATCATCACTACTCAATTGCAAATTTATTATATATATATATAAAAAAATTTTTTCACTAAATACAACAAAAAAAATTTTTTTTTCCAAAAACCCCAAAAAATAAAAATTTGCTATTGTTTTTTAATTTAAAAAAATTTCTTTAAAAACAAAAATTTAAATAAACACACATACATTTTTATATATATACTAATATACCATAAACCATATAAACATATATATATATATATATAATATATTAAACATACAGTTTTATTAAAAAAAAAAAAAAAAATTTTTTCACGATGAAATATCAATCAGTTATTGTTAAACTTTTTAGTGGACTGAATCCAATCTGTTTATATTTTCCAACGGTAGCAAAAACCACAATATTTGATTTGAAACAAATAATATTTGGACGTTTATTGATCGATCCTGATGACCAGAAACTCGTAACAATATCCGGAAAATATTTAAAAGATTCGACCAGAATATTTGAAAATGACGATGTCGAGTTTACAACTTTGACCCTTAAGCTACCTTTATATGGTGGTAAAGGTGGTTTTGGTTCAATGTTAAGAGCTCAAGGTGGTAAAATGGCTAGTCAAAAAACAACAAATTTTGAGGCGTGTCGCGACTTAAACGGTAGAAGATTAAGAACTGTCAATGAAGCAAAAAGGTTAGATATTCGATGTATAATATACGCGTATGTTTATGTATATGTGTGTGTGATTTTAACTAACGAACGTTTTAAATTTGTTATTCATTAACAATTAAAAGATTGGCTGACCTTCTTGAAAAAGAACCTGAAAGGGAACGCGTCCGTAATGATAAAATACAAAGAAAAATCGAAAATGGTTTGAAAGAACGCCAGGCCAAAAAAATAAGATTTGATGATACTGAGTTCCTTAAACAGAGCGAAGAGATGAAGGAAAAAGTACAAGTGGCAGTAACAGAAGGTAATTAATTAATCTAGTATGAATATTAATATTAATAACAACGTGATTATTTATTCATCTGTTTATCTAATATATATATATACACACACACATATATTTAGCATTAAAAAAATCATCAAAAAATAATAATAATGTTGCCACTACCCCCACCGCCAAAAATACTACTGCAGCTGTCAAAAATACTACCACCACTGCTGACAATACTACCACCACTAAAGTTGTTGCTTCCAAAAATACAACTGCAACTGCTACACCTACTAAATCAATACATAATAACGCATTTTCAATGTGGTAAGTATTTGAAAAATTGATTCTTTTTTCAATTAATCCATTGATATTTTCCCAAATATAATAAATGGTAATAATAATAATAATAACATGATCATGTTTGTTATCAATTAATTAGGGATGTGGAAATGACAGACAGTTCTGATGATGATGCCGAAATGACGGAATCTGATGCATAGAAAAAACGAATAAAATTATTAATATGTCTATAGTTATTGTATTGCAAATAACACCACCACTACATTACTATTATTAATAATTCTCTCAAGAGATATTTGATTAATTAATATCTTTTTCTTTTTTCTTTTTTTATTTTTTATTTTTTATATTGCTAAATCTTTTAAAAATATCAAATAATCAACAAAAAAAATTTAATTCTTTAAATTTTCTTCTTTTGTAAATAAATTCTTTTAGAAAAATAGATTGCGGTTTTTTATCATCGTTTGTAAAATATAAATTATTGATTATTGTTTTTTTCTTCCATAAATTATTTCTTATAATAATGTTTTTATATTTTTTTTTAAAAAATATAACTTGCTATAATTAAAATTTAAATAATAATAAATATATTTTTTATTAGAAAGATTTTTTAATTTTTAATCCTATCTTTGTTGTCATTTGTCCAAAATAATATTCGAATAGTTATATAAGATCAGCTTTTCTTTATTTTTAAATATGAATTTAATTCAACATTTTTTTTTTCTAATGATAAAAGTACAATGAAGAAAGAATAAAGGAAGAAAGAAAACAATGTATATATAAAATGAGGTGATGTCATATATGTTGCGTAAAATTTTAATAAATAAAAAATAATACTACAATTAAATAAATAAATAAATAAATAAATAATAAATATTTTCTTTGAAAAATTCAAGACCACAAGGAATTTTTTCCCATATGCTATCTATCCTAATTCTGTCATAGCGAGTTAGCACGATGAGATGTTGAAGAAGTTTCTGTTGGCTCTGCTAGTGATAATGATGTTAAATTTATTTGATTTGATTCTAAATTTCTTGTTACCTTATTAAATTCTTCGATTAATCTACCAACATTCTTGAAAAAAAAAAACGTAATATTATTTAATAATAATAATAAGTCATGACATTAAAAAAAAAAAATCATTTTAGATTTTAGGAAAAAAAAACCTGGTCTATAAGCGAATATTTTGGTAAAGTTGCATCAGGTTTCTCAAATGATAAATTTTCATCAAGTGCTATTTGTTTTAAAATATGATAATATCTTTCTAAAACTGAAAATATATTAAAGAGAAGTGATTATTATTAAATATATATAAAATATAAATAACCGTGTACAAGTGTATAAATTAATATATTATATATAAAGTAATATTACGCGGATTTGGAAAGTTATTAGGATCATATCCATCTTTTATCATCAAATTACCGATTATTCGATTCATGCAATCGACTGATTCATCAGGTGCTATATATAAATATTACAAATAAAATAAATGTATGCATGCATGTATGTGTTAGTGGTATTTATTTATTAAATATATAAATAAATATGTATGCATTAATTACCAGGAGAAATGTTTACATTTGGATGATGAGATCGAATATCTTCTGCAAATGGCAAAGTCAATAAATGAAATCCTGGGGATTCAACATGTCGACCATCTTCATCTAAAACTTCTGCCTTCAAAAATTATAGATGCATAAATATGTAATGTAAATGTATAGGTAAATTGAAATATCTTTCATACTTGTGGTTTGAGTGCAACATAACATGGTGGACGTCCGACAACACGTGTCATAAAACATATAGCTATTTTATTCAATTCAAGCATTTTTTTGTGTAGCGCTGTAAATGTTCTTATACTGCCTTCATATTGCTTAATTGATTGAGTTGATGAATTAATAAATTTAATAATTGGTTTTGTTATTTACAAAAACAAAACAAAAAAAAAAAAAAAAACAAAGATAAATAAACTAATACTTCTTCATCCGGATAAATAAATATTGAATGATCTATATTATGTTCAAATTTTAAAGTACCAGCAGGTTTAAATCCAAGGAGTGATAATCCTAAAATTTATTATTATTACTGTTATTTAATATATATATATATATATATCCACATATTGTGCATTTTTAATAAATTTTTTAATTTAAACCTTTTTTATCATCAATGCTATTGATTTTAATTAATTCATCTTTTGTGAATATAACCTAAAATCAATAATAAAATTATGATAATATGATATATGATAAAATAATAAATACATTATTGATTAAAATAAAATCAAAACCTTTTCACCGCCATAAGCATAATAAAATTTCATATCTTCTTTCATTAACCTTTGGGCTGTATCCTATATATTTTTATACATAAATACATATTTTTTTGTAGGAAATAATTTAACACACAGGGTACATAATATTACAACTATGTCAACAATAACAACATAACAAAAGAAATAAAAAAAAATCCAACCGCACAAATCCATTCTGTTTTCATTTCTGCTATACGAGCAGTCTCTGATCTCATATGTACATATTTATATGCAGGTTTCTTCTTTACAATTATCGTTGAATATCTATAACAAATAAACAATAACGTTTATTATAGAATAAGAATATATATATATAAATACACATTTTTTCATTCATTCATTCATTACCAACCCTTTAATACCAATTGTTAATTCTAATGAATCGTCTTCAAATAAACGAAATGGAATTGAAAAAGTAGATCTTCTTGGCACTTCTTTACTCTTAATTTGAGATGCCATTTTTTTATAATCCTTGAGTGTACTCACAAATGAATAATTGGTAATATCATTGTTCAATGATAATATTTCCTATTTATGGCAAATATATTATTACTATTAGTATTTGATGAAATCAATGATTTATTCAATATTTCATAAAAAAATTTACAGTATAAAACGCATCCAAATTAAATAATTCACCAGCTTTAGTATTAATGCCAAAAATGTTTATACCAATTTTTGATTCAATGAGATCCTAAACAAACAGAACAATATAAATCAGTACCAATATTATTACAATAATGCTATGTTATACATGCTAACCTTTGCACGAGTTATGGCAGTACTATGTAAATATTCATTCATTGGATGGGGATTATCACAATCAGTTATTAAAAAAATTCTTTTTGTCTTGATCGTGGGTGAAATTCTAAAATATTAGATATTAAATAACAAATATAAGTCATCCCCTGAAAAGAAGAATGATGAAAATAATTAAGAAAACTGACAAAAGATTAAAAATATCACCGCAAACCCAAAATACATCACCAAAAGGAAATTCTCCATCCCATATCCCAATTTGTTCTTCAAAATCAAAGTCACCTAACATTATAAAACAAAATATAATTTATGTGTATAAATATAAATATATATTATATAAAGATCGAACAATACCAGATATAATTTCATTTAATTCTTTTATTCTATGAATATCCAAAGAATCAATATTTTGCAATACATAAATATGATCTTTCACAACTCTATTTTGTGCATGTTTCTAAAAAAGCAAAATAATGAATTTTATTATTATTCTTATTGACAAAATATATGAAAATTTGTAACAATAATAAATAATTAACCCTACTGTTCCGATAAGCATGATTCCTATTAAATCTTTATTTTGTTCGGTAGTCATTTTGTCAAACATTATTTCTGATATACATTTTAATATTGAATTAAATTTTGAATCTTGTACTTGCTCTTGCCCTTGATTTGAATTTTGATTAACATCTTTTGAGAACAATGTTGAAGTACAATGAATAACAAATAGAAGTGCATCGCGACTGCTGCCCATCAACTATATGATTATTATCATTGATCGCGCGGTTGCAGTGAATTTGATTGTAGTAATGGTGGTTGTGGTTGTGGTAGTGAGAATGTGTAAAATTTAACATTTTAACATTATTCATTAATTCATTCAGCAATTCACATTATTCACATTCACCTTGTGCACTTCTGCAAGATTATCTTCATCCAATTCTTCATCCTGAAAACTAATAACATCATCATATGATAGTTGACTTGAAGAACTTGATATTGTAGTGTAAGACATTTATTTTAAAATTTTTGGTAATACGATAATCGTTACGATTACGATCAGTGGTACTAATACTAGTACTAATTTAAAGTTTTAGTAGCTAAATATAGTCCTTCATATGATGGATGGTGTTTTTTTTTCGACAATATATATTATTCTTAGTACTATTACTACTATTAACATTAATAAAAAAGGAGTCGACAAAAGATATAATATAGTGATAGTAATAGATAAAAAAATGGTGATGTCCCAAGCTAGTAGGTCTGAACGGTCATAACCATTTACCATTAACAATTTACAATAGCTTCATTAGTGGTAAAATTAAGATGCAAACAATTTTATATTATATTAAAAAAAATAAACAATATATTTCGTTGATAAGGTCTGTTATCGAGTAGATTGAATTGCTTCCAATGGGTTTATAATAATGACGAGGCGGAATGATATCATATATTGGCGGTCCGCTTATACCTTCGAAATATACAAAAGATTCATCATTATTATAATGGCTAGATCCTCAATTAGTACGGTTTTATGAAGTAAGTATAGTGAAGGATATATTTATTCAGGATACTATATATCTCGGTGTGGAATCGTGAACCTTAGCCATGCATCAGACAATATTAAGATCTAACAGAAAATTTCAACTCTAATATCACTATGCAACTTGAAAATCACAATATATGCTCGTATCCCACATTAGCTTGGCGCGTATATACCATACCGTACATATAAATATGCGATATTACTTTTATTTTGTACCAGTGAAAGTAAGAAGAATCGTTCCTTTAAGCTCCGAATCTTGAAGTTTTATTATCTTAATCTACATCACCTTTTGTATGTGCGACATCTTCAAAAGAAGGCGTTTATAATAATAACCACTGTCAATTCTCAGCGAGTATAATCATATTAGTCATAATGAATCAGAAAATTTATGATCTCTGACGCGCATTTAAGATAAAAGTGACTAACTAGATCTGTGCTATCCAGTGTAAAAAATTGGAGGGGCGGAAGGGGCGGGAGCTAACCAAATTTGGTAATTATCAGCATATTTTTGCAAATAATTACCAAATTTGGTTAGCTCCCGCCCCTTCCGCCCTCCAATTTTTTACACTGGTGCTATCTATTCTATGTACTTGCCTATTTTTTTGGCTCGCCACCTTAACTTGAATTAAAGCCAGAATCCGTGTCTGATGTGCTAAAAAAGTCATTTTATTTTAGGGTAAACCATCTGGAATCAGTACAAATATTATTTTGTAAATTTTAATACTTTAACACTTGTCATCATTATTTTTTATCAATATTTTGTTGATCGTTCAAATTCTCCTGAGGCAATTGCCCAGTCTACTTCTTGGGTTGGGTGCAAGAATTGCGCTGGGCTTGTAATCTTATGTGTCTAAGAATTATCTGAGATTACAAGCTCGACACAATTCTTACATAATTTCATATAGAAACTTACAAGCATTTGGTATTAGGTTTCTGATGAAGCCATACCTAAAAAAATGCGGAATCACTGCGGAATATTTTGATCTGGACAATAAAAAGGACCATAGCGTGAAAATGATATTTCGTTTTTTGAAGCCTTAAAGAACAATATCACTATAGAAAGTGCGTATCAAAAATGTTTTTAGATAAAGAGTTACATATAGGAGTGGCCAAAATTTTTTATTGTCCAGGCCTCTTCCATACATGAAAAATCATCTACTACTACTTATTTTTCTATATGCATTATCCCATATGTTTTCAGTGCTATTCACTACCTATTACACATGCATAATTTTTTATAGGATGGACGTATAACGTTTCAACGAATTTTAATTCGTCGAAACAAAGAATTTTCCTTAATTTTGTATATCAATCCGAATCAAATAAAAGCAAATCGCGATTTATATTAGACAGTATTAGTTTTTTAATGTTTTGATTCGAATCTGAATATAATCAAAGCACAGATTCGAATTCCGTAGATTCACTTGGAGCATTAAGTGTAGCACATTGAGCATTATCTTTGCTCAATTGGTCGTGATATTTCCAGCATTAGTTGAAAGGTTAGTGATGTTATTATTATTTCTTAGCTTAAACCTACATATCGATATAATGTTTTATTATCAGCTTCAAACTGAGCAATTTTATTTAATATGATTTTTAGCAAAAAATTTTGTGTAGTACTTTCTGATAATAAAAGAAACAATACGTTGGTTAGCTAGTTATTTACGTAAATATATATAAATGAACAATTAAAAATAACAATTAATGATTAGTGTTGTTAGGATTCATTATTTACAACGTGATGTCTTTCTTCCATTTGAGAACGTAAACAACTCTCCTCTCCTGCTTTAATTTAGAATTTCAACAAACTGTATCCCATATATAAATATAACCAAGTAAATTGCAAATAAATAAATATTAATCATATAAATATAACATTACTTTCTAGGGTATTCTATCGTTCAAACACAAAAATGGGTTATTAACAAAAAATTTTCACTGCTCCAACTATTTTTAGAATTGTTTTAATTTGCTTAATGTAGTGAGTGTTGGTTCTCTCTAATAGATGATAAGAAATGATTTATTTCTGTGTGTACATAATATACACAGTGATCCAATGTATGACTGTCCAGTAGTTGTAAAAGTTCGAAGTTCTGATAAAACGACTTTTGATTTAATGATACAACAGATGAAATGTGTTTTAGCCTGTTCAGCTTTGAACTTTCGATTTATTTAAGAAGTGCTTCGGCGGCTTTGTTACTAATAGGTCGTTTGAAAACATTACTTCTTGTTGTAAGGATTATTTGTGCCTCTGGATTATATTCCTATAAATTGTCAGTTTTATAATTTAATCACACACAGTTCTAGTATACCTTGACAAAAGAATTGGAATGTATGTTTTGCTAATTACGCAAATACATACATAATAACACCCATTAAATTTATATCATATGTAGCTTAGATTTAGGTAAAATTTTATGTTTCAAGCTTTCCAATAGCTCTAGTAATAACAAACAAAAAACTCAATTAAATGTTTCATTAACATATGAAAGTCTATATTTGTGGAATATAATTTTATTATGTATTTTTGCTTATCTGAACAGAAGTTCTTTACTAATATACATGTCATTTGGCACCTTTGGAAAAGCGTATTGTTTCAAATGGTGCTCTGAATATTTTTTGAGTAAGTGCAAGAGATAAGCGAGGCAATGTACTAGAAGCAGTT